AATGTTTTAATTAGTATCACCCGTGTTAGATACATTCATACATTAACTAATCAATTAATTATACAATTGTATATATATAATATGGACGACAAAAGTAAGTTGACCCTTTTGGATTCTTGATCTATATATATCTAATTTGTTACTCCGATCCGTAATTATATTTATACGCATAGAGACAAAGTATTTTAATTATTAAAGTGACACGTACCCCTTAATGATCAAGCAATAAATAGGCAATGTCACCCAGGGTGATAGCCACACATTTGGAAGAGGTAGAGAGTCTAGATCGAGTGGGGGTGCAAGGATCGGACCGAGTAACAGTGGGAGTAGGGTCAGGTTTGGGAAGGAATTAGAGTTACAAATCATCAATTTTATACATGGAACATCGGTGGAGTTCTAAATGAGTGAGTGTCATCCGTTAACACTAGAAACCAATGTCAACAAAACTTTACCGATATACTCCCTCCGTCCCGTTTTAAATTGTCTGTTTTGACTTTTTGGCATATTTAAGGAAAAGAAAAAATAGAGTTAATTTTCCGAAATTGTCAGTACTTTTTAGAAGGGATGACGATGAATAAGAAGACAAGGTGGAGAAAAATGACTTACTTTAGAGGTAGTTTAGGTATTTTACTCTTAAAAGTTTACGAAAACAACTAACAGGCAACTTATTTTGGGACGGAGAAAAAAGGCAAACAAGCAATTTAAAATGGGACGGAGGTAGTAATTAATATACTTAGCTTGTACTCCTCCGTCCCTAAACGAATTACACACTTTGCTATTCAAAAATTACTGAAACTTTTGTTTATTTGTGTGGTTTTATTGACTACTCCGTATTTGATAAAATTAAATATTTTTGTCACCTCTTATTTTGTAAAATTTTTGATACATCACAATTAATCTACATCAACCCTCCTACATTTAGGGGGATAAAGATATACGTACTCTGATCCCTCTATTCAAATTAATTTGTCTAGTTTGATTTTTTGGATAAAATTATATAACTTTTGATTATTAATTAAATAAAAATTTAATATTAATTAAAGTAAAATTTTTGGATAAATACAAATCCCTCCATCCATTTAGTTAAAAGCTTCTCATTTAACTTTTCACATTTTGCAATGCAACATTTTCACTACTAATATCTCTTGTTTTTTGAAATTGACTATTAATACTCCCTTCGTTCCAAAAAGTCAGTCCCGTTTTGAAAAATTTGCGTTTCTTAAAGTTAGTCACATTTTATTAAAAAACTACTTTTACCTCTTACCTATCACATCATACCTTTTTTCTAATAATCTACCATCACATCCTACTTTTACCCATCACGTCAAAGGTATTTTTGGAAAGTCAACACAAAATTATCCTTCCTTATTTTACCACTTTAGTCAAACCATCCCAATTTTTATGAGACGGAGGGAGTATATCTCTATCAATTGGGTTGTTATTGTTGTATATTTACATACATCTTACATCTTCTTATATAAGCTTCCATAAGATTCTAGAAACTAGAAAGTTTCATACTTTTCTAAAATATTTCCGAGGCTTCCACACTCTTCCATAAGATTCTAGAGAGTTCTACACTTCTCTAGAGTACATCTAGACTGTTCTAGAAAATTTTTTACTTCTCTAGAGTGGTCTAAAATTTTCTAAAATCTCTCCAATTAAGGAACCCAACATAATTGACATGAATTTTATGTTTTAATCATATTGAGGTAATTCCTATTTTAAAAAATCTCGCGAAAACGGTGTCCCCTGGATTGTTCAATGACTCAAAATTAGTGATTAAAGTCATGTGTCAACCGTTGGACACGAGGACATTGTAGTTTTTTTCAACAAAGTACTCGTATTAGATTCCCATCCCAATAATGATCCAATTCACACTATTGGACTTGCTAAGGTAATTACGTAGCATTAATTTAATTTAATTAACACATACTTCCTCCGACCTATCTAGTACACCCTAAAATATTTCTTGTTTCAACTTTTATGAAAGAAAACGGTAAGAAAGCTTGATAAATGTGAAACAACGACAATTCAAACAGGGCTCGGGAATTGTCAACAACGGTAGAGCGGAGAAAGTAATTGAGATATGTGCAGTTAGATTTAAGTAGAGTAAGGGCAATTGTGTCCATTTAAGATAAACTGAAATATTTTATAAGACATGTAAAGTGTGAAAGTTAAAAAATTTTATATTACGAGACCAAGAAGTACATATTTTTGTAGAATAATGTGCAATGCTAAAAAAGTCAATGTAGTATCTTTTAAGGGCCCATTTCTCATGCATACCATGGTTTTGGTTTAGCGTTTTTATTGAGACACTAATGTTAATTGTTAATATGAAATGTTATTTTTAATGTATCAAAACTTTACTAAAATTTTCACAACAAATAACCCAATAATGTGATGTTTGACTCTTTGATCACTCGATTACCAGGTAGTTTACGTTTCAATTTTTTTCTGTACCAACGCTTTAATTTAGCATTTTTTTTGTTTGAAACACCTACATTTTTATGTGATATTGTTTTTTTTCAAATTGACCCAAAATTGACTAGGGATGTTCACGACGACAAAGTTGAAAGAAATCAACCGCGTCAAAATACGAGCGTTTTAATTTACATTTTCAAATAAAACGTTTACGTTAATATAAAACATAATCTTGTCCTCAAATTGACCCTAAGTTATTTAACTAAGTTGAATTTTCACGGTAGAATTGAAGTCAACAAGTCACATTTTACTTTTCATCCGAGTGAAAAGGGCGGGATGAAAAAGTCAAGTTGATGAGGTCAACCACTAAAATCAGTTATTTACTCCACTACTTATCACCCGCCCGCCCGGAGGAATTGGATGCCACAGGTAGGTAAATATTACGTAGAAGAAATGCATGCTATGAATATGACTCTTAGGGTACGAAAATAATTCAACATTCATTTTATAGGTTGTATATTAATTCTTCTGTCACGTAAATAAAATTTTTTAACTTTTATATCTTACTTAGTTTGTCTCGTAAAACATTTTAACTTAGGCTAAATGGATACAATTATTTTTACTCCGGTATCACTAGAACCCCACCGTGTGTGTGTGTGTGTGTGTGTATATATATATATATATATATATATATATATATATATATATATATATATATATATATATATGAGGTTGTAGTCCTCGTTGACTGACCAACTTGCGGGGTATATACAACGTAACGTTAGAATTTTGGGAAATAAAACAGTAGATTATTTTAGTTCCTAGGAAACACGTAGGTACGCTTCGAGTTAGGATTGCACACACAAATACTATTGTTAAAAGAGTCATAAAACCTCATATGTGCTTTTTTGTCCTCGATATAAAAACCAGGCCGCCTGCACATGGGGAGGGAAGCCAAAGAATTGAAGGACGACGACCCTACATTTGTGGGGTACTCTTACCTTTCCCAAAGAATCCCAAAGACACTTAAATAATGTTGTTACTATTGGAGTCTATAACTTATCTTTGTTTGTATGTTTTTAATGATAATTTGGTTAAATAAAATATTATTGTCATTCATGTTGTGTGGAATTTTTTATGTACTTATGAACGGTGTAATTTATATCTTTTATTTCTATATCAATTTGTAATTAAAATTATTTTAAAAGTGATGGAATTTTGCATATTATTCAGAGTGTGGCATCCATTATGGGACGGAGGGAGGTATACTTTCTCCTCTTGAAAATATACTTCTACTTCCATTTTTTACAAACTCACAAAAAAATCATTTTATCCTACCTAACATTTCAAAAATATCTCAAAATAACTTCTACTCATGATAAAGGGAAAATGGGATACTATGTATTTTAAACATTTTAAATTCGGTAAAATAGATGTATTTTGTGACATGCACAAAAATGAAAGTAGAATTAGTTATTCAAATGGAGGAAGTGCATTATATTCCATAAAGTCAAAAGATTCAATTCTAAGAAAAAATAATAATCAAAATTTGGAAAGATTTTTTTATTTTTTTGTAGATTGTCAACATAATGAAAGAAAGAATCCTAGCGCAACAAGTTTAATGGAATTTAATACTCCGTATATATACTTAGATTCATTGTAAATGTCAGAATAATGGTTACTACGCATTAAAATTGTACACGTAAAAATGTTACAAATAAAAGGGAGAGTAAAAACAATTTTGAATCCCGGCCACTTTATAGATTTTCATTTCATTGGATTAATTAATCAAAAGTAAGCTCCGTATAAGATGAATGTACTGAATTGCCATGCAATTGCCATATATACCCCATGTGGTCTACTCATACATCCCATGCACCACAAAAGAAAGATTTTTATAGGTACAATGTCCCAAAGATATTTAAGTCATTAATAAGTCAACTATTGATTTGGGGTATGATAGGGTTATGAGTTATGAATGGGGTTATATTGGTAATTAAACTACTAGTTTGACTTCTCTCCCATTAAAATCTTCTCCTAACAAAAGCTGGCCATATTATTTTTCAACACTTTCTTTTTAATTAAGCTCTGTAAAAGTGAAAATATAAGGAAGCGTCTAAAATGACACCAGTTACTTATACACCATTTGCTTACACCAGTTCGTTTGAGGTACCTACGGTGCTCCATTTGTAAAAACGACGGTTCCTACCCCCCTAACCCTCCCCCTAAACCCCCACCTCAGCCCCACCCTTGCCCCCCCTCCCTACCCTAGCAGTACACTGTCTCGCAGTGTACTGCCCAGGGTAGGGAGGGGGGCGGGAGGGGGGCTGGGGTGAGGGGTTTAGGGGGAGGGTTAGGGAGGGTAGGAACCGTCGTTTTTACAAACGGAGCACCGTAAGTACCCCAAACGAATTGGTGTAAGCAAATGACACCAGTAACACTGGTGTCATTTCAGACTTACCGAAATAATATATATATATATATATATATATATATATATATTTATATATATAAAAGACAGTTTGGAATATGACTTTACCAAGTAAAACCATAAATATGTAGTCAAAGTAAAACATACTCCGAACTTTCCGCATTTGTTTTTCCGAGACATTTGAATGATGAAAAGTGTAATTCTTTTTGAGACGGTGAGAGTACAATACTCCATACTTCGTATTCAAATACATAATAAAACACCCATAAAAATACATAATAATTTAATAAAAATTACAATAGCAAGAGAGATAGAGAGGGGGGATGACAATGAACTAAAGGATTCCAAGGTCCCACCAAAGGAAGAGTAATACAACAGTTAATAGGAGAAAGATGCATTGGCACATCACCAAAGAAAGGTCACTTCATGACTTTGCATTAGCCCCTCATAGTCTCCACCTTTTATGTATTTTTGGGTGCTTTAGTTGGACTAGGAACAGTCAAAATTAGAACATGTCTACTAAGCATTCTCACATGCTTAATTAAAGAGTACCTTTAACTTTAACCTCTCATCAAACTCCCTGTGGCAGTGCTGCATTACAGGTTGCACAATGGAATTAGCAATTTGTCATGTCTGAATCTCATTGGAGATTTTGTGTTTTGAGTGCACTATAAAATCTGCATTAATAACTTCTCACTCAAAATAAAGGGAGACATAATCAACTTTTTGTTTCAAGGAAACGATAACAACCTTGCTGTCTCTTTAGATAGAGGTATACAATGAAGTTGAGGGGGCTGGATGGGAAAATTGAAATAGTAATAGTAAGAGGGTCACGAAATTAGGTAAATAAAACATTATACTCCGTATTTACACGACAAGCACTAGTTCAAGAACAACAAAATCCAGTTTAATCCTAACTTCATCGGGATTTGGGGTGAAGATGTACACCATCTAACCCATATAAAAAAAAGTAAAAATGATGTTTCCATTAGACCATTCTAAAAGCAATGTTGCATTTACTACACATAACTTACATAGAATACAGATAGTGCTCGTAATAAGCAGAAGATGTTAGTTTGGTTTTGGTTATTCGTACCTGCCTGAATTTATCATCATTGTGCATTCCTTTCTAGCCATTGAACACTTCCGGTGTTTGGAGGACTTAACGATCCACAAATGTGAAGAACTTCTTCGTCGAAACTAGCAATGAAAATAAGATAAAACTTAAAGTAGTAAATACACATAATGTCCGCAATACTCTGCCAACATCTTGATTTGAATGAGGCAAAGAATGCAATAAGACCAACTGAACTATAATAACACCACAATATACACTCAAGCAAGAGACCATTTACCTCTTGACTGTGAACCGCACAATTGTTCCCACTTTTATCTTATGTCTTTTATGAGATCTACTGACAAAAACTTCCTCACCGCGTTTCTGCAGTAAGAAATATAAAGTAAATAAATAAATCCTACTGGGCATAAATAGCTTACTCTCACGGTTCCAAAATATCTGTCTCCTAAAAACAAATTTGTCATAGTTTCAATTTCACTCTTTAAATGATGATTTAATTACTCTTTTCCAGTTTTACACTTCAATATCTTTGGTGCAGTTTCTCATATTGTGACACTCAAATCTATTCATGATGCATAAAAAGTGTAAATAATGTCATATATGTATGAGAGGGAAACTTGGTCATTTTACTTTATTGGATTAGATTCCTAAATGCCTAGTTATTGGTGAACAAAATATTTTTACTTAAGCACGGAAACAGCCTCTATTTGAGTACAGCTAAGATTGCGTACATCTTGGCCCTTCAAAAGCAAATGGAGTCGGGGTTATGACGGGTTGTTCTAACTGTTGTTGTACGGGTTGAGTATTCAGAAATGGAGGAGAAAATGGACAAAGCAAGGTTTTCAGGGGTGGCTTACAAATTTATATTTGAACTTTCCACACAAATCTTCATCGGCAATCACAGCTGATGAAAATCCAAGAACGATCATGTGAATGGACTGTAGGGAAACTTTTACAACTTCTCCTTCTGCAAAAAAGCACAAATTAAATGGGAACATCACCAAGGTTACTCCCAAAAGGTTTGACAAGCTCAAGACACCTTCTTCCCACGCGTCTATTCAAATTTACAGTTCAAACTGCACAAATATCATAATAAAACCAAATGATAAAAAACTACCTAAAGTCATATCTTTCTTTGGATGAAAAGTCAACAACTTTGCTTGAAATGTCACACCAAAATATGGTTGAATCCCTGGGAGAATCTTTGCCAAGGTAACCCGGAACTCCGGTTCATAAGCCAGCATCACTCCATCAAAAGCATCACTAAACCTTTAAAATAGAAAGAAAATGTGATGAAATATAACTCTCTAAGGGCTTGTTTGGTGAACACAACAGACATCTACGTATATGAGAACATTTATGTGGATATTTGGTAAAGCTTAAATAGAGTTCGGATTTGATATTAGACGGCATCGCATTTCTCCCAAATGGGACTGTTTTGATACTTCAAGATTTTGAGGGATATCAATCTGGAGGTTTTGACATCGCCCTCAACTTCCGGACACCTCCACCGGCAACCTAGTGTCACTTTCACAGACAACGATCATTTCAAATTCCTCTAAACCTTATCATATCAACTACGCGAATGGATGATATAATAAATAAAAAAAGCACCATTAACAATTACAATAAGATATTGTTTCCAATCAGAAAAATTCAGATGAAATATGAATACATGCGAATATATGGCACAAAATGCAGGCGAAGATAATGAGCAATTACTTGAAAAGAAGAGAGCTCAATTCGCGATGAATAGCATCCTTGACGTTCTTAGACTTGGAAGGGTGGACGTAAACAACTAGATTCGCAACGCAGCGCTGCAACGCCTCCATTGATTCACTCTCAGGGATGAGGATTTCACTTTTCTTTATTGCCCAACAATGGCTAAAACCCTAGATAAACCCGAGCGATATTTCCCGGAAAGGATTGCGTGGTTTTGGGGCTGGGCCTCGAATCAAATGTCTTTGAGATGTAATAGCAGAATTAGGCTTAATGGCTAGCTCTTAACTTCAAGCTTGATCGGCCCAATAAGGTTGTTCCTAATTTAATTCAAATAAAAATAAGTTAATGAGAAGAAGCTCTAATTCTCACGTGAGATTGAGAGCATTTCAAAAGAGACAAGTTCGAGTTCACTAATAAATAAGGGTAGATCAATTTTATAACCCAAATTTGACATCAAAATTTAACTTCCACAGTCTTTGAGAATGACTATCTTTTTATATAAATGATAATTATCTGAAAAAATACATAATGTCAAACTCTAGTAATTGTACCATGGTCTGGTAATTTATCATACTCCATTATGTCTACAATATTTTGTTTCAGGTTATCGGATGCAGAGTTCACTTTTTATTGGTCTTTGAAGTGAATTAAATTGTTGAGTCAATTCTTGGGACCCTAAAAACGAATTCATGTTTTTTTCGTGATTTTCTTTGAATATAATTTATTGTCTAATTTTATTTTTCAAAAACTCCAATGCATCACTTTGATTAGCAATGGCAATATTTTAGATATAAACAATGGCAATTGATATCTACACTCCATATTTTACTAGTTGACTCCACTTTTTTTATTTTTTAAAAGATTGATAATTTTGCCCTATCAATTACAAATACATCATTTTCATCATCCCTTTACAATTTGGCCAAAGTATCGTTTGGTAAAAACTCAAATGTAAAGATCTTTTTTAAATTAACAAATTAATAAATAAGTATGGAGTGCCAAAGTATTAATGTGGAGTGCCATTATAATTTAATTAATACTCCATGCTTATTTATTAATTTGTTAATCTAAAAAAGATATTTACATTTGAGTTTTTACCAAACGATACTTTGGCCATAAATAACTATGCTTGTACACACAAAAAATTCAACTATAAAAATTTGATTTATAAAATATATATTTTCAAATAAACCAACTATAAAAAATTTAAGTTATAACTGAATATATATATTTTTCTCAAAACGTGATAAAAACAATATAAAATTTTATTGAGAAAAATCAAATTTAAAATTTGATTGAGAAAAATCGAATGCAAAATTTATTTTAGACGGATGAAGCAAAATGAGGAGTGCTTATTTGTTACACCTAAGTTCAAAAAATCCTGTGGACTTTCTCACATAAAAGTAGCTCTGTGTTTTTTTTAAATTTATAATAAGCATGTTCATCTCAACATTAAGCAAATGTAGCATAATTTGCCTAAAATAAACTTTTCAAAGTAATTACTTTCATGAATTTTTTATAAAATAAAAGAATCAATCATGTCTTAATTTGCTAAAAAAATTTGTTAATATTTTTAAATATATAATTTTTTTTAGTTTTGGATGGCCACTTTGAGTTAGATAACATGATATTCCATCCCTTCAAATCTTAATTACTTTTTTTCTTGTTCTCGTTACTTATTTGATAAAACAATATAGAACTCCGTAATATCGTTTCGTAGAACATTTGATAGATTTTTAAAAATGTACTCCCTCCGTCCGGTATTAAAGTTTACGTTTTGACTTATTGTCATTTTTAATGGGAGTTGACTAAACACTTAAAATACCAAAAATACCCCTTTCTCCCCTTTTTGCTTTTCCACCTGAACACAATACGGAAAACAGCTCATTCTCGGCTCAAAATCGAAAAACAACTCAAAATTGGCTTTTACCCCTTCATGGCTCAAAATCTGAAAACAGCCCATCCTACTTCGAGAGAAAGTGGAGTGCAACTAGTAAAATAAGGAGTGTAGAGATCAATTGTCATAAAGAATATGTACTTTCATTTATTCGTGAAAATGAGTCATACCTTCAACCCATTTTACTAAATACTTTGCACATTCCCTACGAGTTAATATTATTTAAATCACTCACAGTGTCACATAGTGACACTGTATTTTCCTATGACACTATATTTTCTTTTCTTATGTAGGAGTCAAATTAGCAAAATTACATACACATATAAATGACAAGTTGAACATAACAATAAAAAAAGTAATGGATCACATTTAAAAACATAAGAGTATCATAACCAACAAAAAATTCAAGTACTTAATTTTCATTTTGTTTCAAATGAGGTTATCAGGATTCATATCAATTCAATCCTGTTAGTTTTTCAACACATTCCGTTGCTTCTTGATCAATGATAATCAAATTCCATTGCCACATAAAAAATGAACACAACAAGAAAAGTCTCAAACTAAAATCATACCAAAAAAAGATCGGCCAGCAACTCAGCAATACATATATGTTCATCCTAGTAGAGTATAATATAAGAGAAGCTGGAAAAGCTAGTTAATAAATAGTAAACTAAAAAAACAAAGCCAGGATGTACAAAGCCAGGATTTAAGTTCCGGTAATCTCCCTATCCATTTTCATTCTCTTTGTGCTTTGGACGTCCGGAAAACCACTTACCCTCCGCTGGGAGGGTGGCGGTGGCGCAGGGGAATCATGCAAAAAAGCGCACTTCACCCCGTGCCGGCACCCTCTCTGGCTGTTGAAAAACATGCAGGGCTTCATTATCTTTGGTTTATTAGGATCTCTTGATGATCTGGAACTAACAATTGGCGGTGGTGGTTCTTGAACCGGAGAAGAATCAATGTGTTGACTTCCCCATCCGGTGTTGTATAACTGTCGTGGCGGCAGTGGTGGTTCCTGAACCGGAGAAGAATCTATATGTTGATTTCCCCGTCCAGGCCGTGGTGGTGGCGGTGGTAGGGTGTCTTGTCTTTCCCCTCCATGTTGCTGAATAAGGCTTTTATAATAGTTCATGTCCTTGGAAGAGGAAGAGGGTGATGAAGTTGATTGTATCGCGCTGGGGGTCGGTCCCACCATCCTAGGCACAGGAGGAGGGGGAGGGAGGTTGATAGGTCCACTTGTAATGGGCAGCGGTGTTGTTGGATTTGAGAAGCTAAAGCCCGGCGGCCCCACATTCGCAGGTCCACTGTGTTGTACATTACTACTTCTCATGGCTGGCAAGTTGCTCCCTCCTCCTTGATGGGTAACTAATTGCCCTATAATTTGAGGGTCACTTAGAATTTTGACGAGGAGTTCAGAGTCAATGAGATTTCCATGGTCGTTTGCCATTATCGAGCTCAAGGCAGCTAGCGCAACCGTTAAACTGTCGTCGGGTTCCAAGCTGCTACCAGAAGAAGAAGAAGAAGAAGAGGATGCTCCAGCAGTGGTGGTTGAATGGGAAGGCACGGTAGCTCCTTCGGGGCCCTCCATTAACGGAGGGGTCAGATTGGTGGGATTGGGACCCACGGCAGCGGGCGCATCATGCTGCAATAATATTGTGTCAGCGGCATCGTCTTCTTCGATAGATGTGATGGGAATCAGAGGTGTGTGTTGATTATCAGTGTGGACAACAGTGTGTTCTGCTGTTGCTGAAGGGCTGCATGGTGATGAAAACCCACATAGTTAATCAACAAGAATGCTTCCTCAAGAGTATACTAGGCAAATTTGACAGTGTCATTTACGGAAACAACATCAAAAAAAGATAGGCAGAAAAAGGGGGTGTCTAGGGGACTTGGAAGGGCAGAAAAAAGAGAAATAGGTGAAAGAAGAACTAAGACATCAATAGACTCCATTTATAGCCTTGGCCTGTTGAGTTTCTATTTATAAGAAGAAGAAGTTTAGCATTATACTACTTGCTTAGATCTCATTTGGCAGCCAAATGTACCTTATTTTACTTGCCACATTATAGGAGAATGATCAGAACTAGTGTTTGACTTGTTTTGCAAAAATGTATATAACCAAACACTTTTCCTTTCAAAGATATTCAATATGTGCCGAATAACTCCTTAACAAACATGATCAGTGTCTTTTTGGATGACTTTTGAAACATATGAATCCTTTTTTTTTCAAAATTTGAAAAATAATACTCCGTATATTGTTGCTTTTATGGATATAATTATTTTTATTGAATTGGAATTCATCAACTTTTAGCTTTAAATTAAAAGCACTTCCGTTGACAAAGACACCAGAGTGATTATTTTTTTGGAAAGTACTTAATTTAGAATATTGCCTTTAAAGAGAAGACCAAACGGGCACTTTTGCAAGAAATGGATTTTACCAATAGCTATTCCTTGAACAAAATTGACAAATTCAGTCATTTCAGCAAAAATCTTCTTACAAACAGGCTCTTATCATATGAAAATGAAGAAAAACAAAATCGAATGGGCAATGAAGCATCATACTTGAGGGGAATCGCAGATGGGCGAGGATATATTGCTTCAAGCACTCTCATCTCTCGTTGCTTTTGAACTTCCCGCTCTTGGCTCTCCTCGCCAGAAACCACTCGCCAGTTAGCTTCCAATTTGAACTGTCAAAAATCATACAGTGTTATTATATTGCAGGAAGACCTTTGAAAAAATACATAGATATCAAATAAAAAATGAGTGAGATATATTCGCATCATCATCAGTAATCCAGTACCATTAGAATACCAACGAAGAATACTCTCGAACACAGACTTTAAACAAACAATACTCCGTGTCATGTTTTCTGGGACAAAGCCGAGCGATGCAGTGCACTTACATGCAATTGGAAATTGATCATTTTCAATGATGTGCATGTCAATTTTACAATACAATCTCGTGTACAAATTCTCATAATGGAATATGACTAAAGCAACTATTTTATCACAATGCCATCTCACAATATTTTCCATGAAAATGAAACCATTCATGATGTTAACAGTTCTAAATTTTCACCTTTCAATTCTTTCGCATGAAGGTTGCAACATTGAGACAACAAGGGCATCTGGCTTAAAACTCCGACCCTATACTTTTACAATAATTGTATAATTGTATGGTGATATATTATTGTAGAGTGTAGACCTTATACTTCTCAATAATTAATTGTAGGGCTTAACATGAATTTCATGCCACAAACTCCAACTAGTTGGTGTTAAGTTGGTTTTAAATAATGTAAATGGGATATTTAAAAAGAAAAAAAATCTTTCGAACTTACTCTTGGAGGATATTCCCATTTGATGACAGGTATTTGAAAAAGCTTAGTTCTCCAAAGGTTCGAAGCCTGTGCTCCTTCGAAACCTGGAGGTAAATTATCATCAGATGTGATTCCACTTGCATGAGATGGCTTTGCCTGGAGGTGATCTTGACCACTAAAACCAACTTGTGAAGGAGAATCTTCAGATAAGAACAACCTAACCTGTTGAAAGTACAATTTTCTTTAAAAAAATAAGGCAAACATTTTGCTTAATAGGCCTAAAAATGGATCAATGTAAGTTATCTGTAGAACTCGTAAGCTACACAATTACAAGTACGAAAAATCCAAGGAAAGCATTAGCTACCATGGAAATGCCATTCCATCAACATACCCTACATACACACATATAGCTTAGGAAACCTAACACGTGCATCCATAAATGTTTTGTAAGAACAGAAAGGGAATGCATAGTGCTGCTTTATAGCATGTAGTTTGATGCGTGGAATATCTCAATAAAAGTAACAATTTCAGGAAGATTGAAGTGTTAGCCACACTTTATAATCAGGAGCATGATAGTCAGATTGATGTGCCCAAGATACAGAGTTTCAAAAGTGCAGCCCAATCTAGGATCTTGTAATAGTTTGTTTCCAATTAATCCATATTTCCCTTTCTTAACCATTACTCCCTCTGTCCAAATTTTTTTTTCCAAGTTTGACTTGGGACGGAGATTATGAAAAGTTAAAAAGTTTAAAAAATTTCCATGTCTTGCCCTTGATGTGATGGAATAAAGTGAGAAGTGTAAAGAAAAAGTAGAGGTATTATGGCACATTCACTAAAAGTTTTTAAAGCATGTTCACCCTGCCAATACAAATTATCAACCTAACAAATGTTAGTTGCTTAGTGATATACTGATATGGGTTTAGATAAACTAGATTCCTTAGAAGTTAAAAACTAAAAAACAGATGTGCAGAGTTAATCTCCAAAATTAGGCTTCATGATACAATAAATGCAAATTTGGATGAAAGGACAATGCTAAAAACAAATGACAATATAGACATTCCCGTTTGAAGGGAGTACTTTAAGCTCTTTAAAGTTCAGGAGGCTACAAAATTTCAATACACAGAAAAGTGATTTCTTGATAACAAAATCAACACACAACATGCATAGGACAAGCTTCAATACTATAAACAAGGCATTTACAAATTTTATAGAAAAAAGAGCACCTTCCAAGCTCAAACTAGATAAACAACCATGAACACCACTTAAGAGAAAAAAATCACATAGATCACATGCATGGAACACAACTTCACAGTGCTTGAGTTGTGAAAACCTGATATCCATTTATGTAAAACAGCTAAATTTCATGTCATCATTCAGTACTCTATAGCACAAAATGTAAATAATAATTCCATCATGTTTTGGGAGAAGACTAGAAGACGTCGGGGTGCAGTTTTATCACTTCATAAATCTAAATGAAACAGCAGTGGTTACTATGTATTGTACAACTGATACAATATCTGGATATTGTGCCATTGCCACAATCATGCTCTTCTCCTTATACTACTTGATTTGTACACTACATCCCCGCATTCACTATTTTATAATGAGATATATAATCAGGTTATCTTCTAATTGCATCTCTATGTTTATATGCAATCAATCTGAAAGTAATAATGAAAAATTCAACACAGTTCCCATGGTTTAGAAAAAAATTGATAATGAAAAATTCAACACAGTTCCCATGGTTTAGAAAAAAATTGATATCGAGAAATTATCTCATTCCATAGTTTCCACTCATATAAACATCACTTAGCTTCAATGGTGCCTTTCTTAATCTTATCAAAACTTTTGAACAAAATTATTAACTTTAACAAAACACTCCCTAGGAAAATCAACTCTGGAATTATTTATTTGAGCTAACTGTGTCGAATCAGATGGTGCACTTCTGTTTCAAGTTTCTTATTCTCTCTATGACCATCATAACTTGTGATACATCAAAAGTTGAATAAATCCAGACATATATCATGTCTAAATTCATTCAACTTTTGATGTATCACAAAAGTCATAATGCTAGATTAAATGCAAATGGAGGAAATATTACTTAAGAGGGTTTGACCAAGTTGGGAAATAAACACATCCCATATTTTGATGATTGCTGTTAATTCACGCTGCCTTGTCAACATTTGAAGTTTAACATTACATGTTTCACTTTGCTATTACTTTGCACTGCTTTCTTCATTTTGATTTTTAGAAGTGCTGCTGTCCACTTAAATGTACAATAATTATCATCCTAGACACCCATTTTCTTCACATTGAAAAAAGCAAATACAAACTTTTTTTAAAAAATAAATCATTTCAAAAGCTAATGTGAAAACAACCACATTCGCTCACTTTAACCAGAAAAATTCCAGCATTTCTTCATTTGGACAGAAAGAGAAGAATCATATAATGGAACGACAAAAAAAACGGAATTCTTAATGATTTACCTGACAAAGATTTACATCCGAGGCAAAAGAAACCCTTTTTGGATTCAGCGGTCTTCGCATTTTAAACAAAAATTCAACTTAACCGATTCGATTGACCGGATTCTCAAACACACACAAACTTTTAACTACAACCAATCCCAGAATATATCGATTTATATATTCAATGTCTTAAAGTTCATCTGGTTTCGATCCAACCGATAATCGATACGAAATGCGTGTTCGTTATATCCATGCGCAAAATCGCAGAGAGTTTAAGGGGGTGGCGCGGGGAAGATGCCGGAAACCCTAGCGATGAACCCTAGATCCTCAGGCTTTCTCGGCGATTCACTTTACCTTTCTTCACAGTTTAATTTATGGGGGAAAATACAGGGGTTGGGTATTATTTATACCCGCCGTGTGGACTCGCAATTGGTAGTCCTTTTGTATGACTGAGATGTGGGAGCCACACAGCTCATACGTGGCGCTTATCTAGCTGTAAAACTTGGGATGTGCTCTTTTGTCTAGCCATTGATTTCACAATTTCTTTTTGTATTTAGAGGAAAATAAACTTTTTTATACATCAAAAATATTTAACTTGGATTAAAATGTGTTTCATACTTTTTTTATTGTTTTATATTAAGATATGATATTCCCTCCGTCCTAAAACTTTCTTCCTAGAGCAATATTTCAACTTCACGTAAATTTATATTTATTTGTGTTTTTTCATGCCATATATGATAAAATAAAATATTATTGTCACCAATTGTATTGTTGAACTTTTGATGTAATTTTTAAATATGTACGTAGTATGTTTTATTTTTTATTTCTATACCAATATTTAAATAAAATAGATTGAAAAAATTTGGGATTTTTCTTCGTTTTGCGAACCGGGAAGAAAATTTTAGAACGGAGGGAGTATAAAATAACAACTAATTCCATTTTGAAATATCAAAAAATATTTCAAAATATCGGATGTAATACTCCTTTCGTCTTAATTTAAATAATTTGTTTCGGTATACGGTGTTTGACTGAAGGTATTTTCAAATCATTTTACATGAAAATTAATGTAGAATTGAGAAATAAATATTACATATTTAAAAACTATCTCAAAAAATTACAATACTAGTGATGATATGACTACATTATTTTATCAAAAGATTAACAAAGATAAAGAAAAAAGTGAATGAAATTTGAACTTGTGAATAGTAAATATGTAATTTAATTTGAGACAGAGAGTATTATTACAGACATTCCACAGCTTTGATATTTCTATTTAGATTATAAAATATAAGAATTTCTATTTAGATTATATCGGGCAGGAATATAATGGAGTAAGAAACTAGAAAAAATGATTGTTTAAAGCTTGTTCTTATAAGAAGAAAAATTACGAACCACATTTTTTCCTCTAAAAGTAAATTTAAAAATATTTTAAAACTTTCAACAAAAAAGACAATAAAATCCCACAAAATTGGGTCTAGGGAGGGTATATTGACGAAAAAGGCAAATTTACAACACCTCAAGAACTTTTTAAAAATGCATCCAAAGAAATTACTTGCAACTTCAATATCTCAAAAAAGTGCAAAAATTTTTTATCTTGATTGACTTTTTTCTAATTAAATTAGATAAACTTTGAACTTTAATTCAATAAAAACAGTAATGTACTTTAATGTAAAAACAATTTTATTAAATTTTTATTTTTAAAAATTATCAAAATTATATCCCAATCTACTACAGAGTAGTAATTTTCTATGTATAATACAAACTGAAAGCAATTGAAGCGCAATTTTTTTCAATTTAACTCAAAAAATCAAATTAGACAAATGCATTGAAATGAAAGTACGACTGAGTACTTGCTATGCTATGCATATTCGCCATTCAAGAAGAGCAATTTGGCTATAAATTTCACTCACTCACCACAAGAATCCAGAAGGAATCAGATTTGCAGGGGAGGGGCAAACTTGGAATGGACTTAAAATGACCCAAAAAAACGCCTCCATTCCACTTTCCAAAAACTAGCTGGCAGATACAAAATGCTTAGATGTTTTTTGTTTTGAAAGAGCCCTAATAATGCAAGCATTTAAACTGTCTAAATTTGGAAACAAGTACAGAAGCAATTGAAGAAATACAAAAAAGTGAGAAGAAAAATTACACAAATCCTGGAAACAATTATTGGGCTGACTTTCTTGGCCTTCCTCTTTTACCGGACCCCTTTGGCTTCTCACTTGAAGTGGCCTTCTTATTAGAGCCACCACGACCGCCGCCACGACCAGTGGTGGCAGTAGCAGCCTTTCTCCCCCGACCAGATTTTTTGGAAGCAGCTTTTCCGTTTGAATCTTCTTCTTCTTCACTTTCATCTTCACTGTGACCGTTTTCCTCTTCTTCTTCTTCGTTTTCTTCCTCTTCTGGTTCAGACTCAGATGATGATTCTTTAGAGGACTTCTTCCTCTTCTTGGGCTTTGCAGCTGCTGGCTTCTTGGTGGCTTTTTTCGGAGGAGCTTTTTTAGGGGCTGAAGCTTTTTCATTCTCAAGTTCTTCGGAAGTCTTGCCATCATATACTTCAAGCTGTCGCAACAGATTAAAAAGGACCGTCAATACGATTTTCAAGCATACATTCAACAAAACATTCAAATTGTGATGAAGATTGAAGAAGAAAACAGATGAAAATTTAAACGAGAGAAGCAAGCATGTGTGCATATAGAAATTATAAAATACTCATTATGCACATTTATTTCTTTGCATATACATGGAGCTAGCATATTATGAAGCTATGTGTATATACATTTAATAATTAGACAATGCTCATTTCTTTGTTAAATGGTTTTTTTTTCATTATGGTCCTAATGACACTTCCAATCTATAGTTTGTGAATGCATATTTACGGAGTTACATAATACTCATTCAATGTACATGAAAGCAGTTGCACACAAACTATAAGAGTGTGTAGCATAAAGTTCTCACCTGATCAATTTTATCAGAAACACCAGTCCTGTCGACCACTATCATGGAGTGGGAATATCCGCATGCAACACTACATGAAAAAAAACATATTTTCAGAAACTATCCAAACACAAATTCCATTACTGTAAATGAGTTCGGAAAAAGGAACTCCTGGAAAAAATATTTTTTTTGGTTTGTCAACATTTACCCAAACACAGACCAAGACCTAGTTGTGGATATCGAACCTGAGAACGTGCATGCCTTCAAGAGAATCCACCTTTTTAGGAATTGCAGAAGATCTACATGTACCAATGGGGGTATGATCATAAGAATTCCACTCAAATAGCCATGGAGATGTAAGAAAAAGAATATAGACGAGAAAGGAAGAGCATATAATTACTTTTGAGCATTAGGACCATAACCAAGCTCCCCAGATTGTGCAAGCCCCCAGCTTATGCAAGAAGAATCGGCACCAACAAAGTGATGCATATAGCCAGAATCCATACAACGCAAGTTCCACCCACTTCAAATCAAGCAGTACAACAATAATAATTATAACAATAATAATAGTAATAATAAAAATAATAATAATAATGTAAAGCCAATGTCAGTTCATCACAAGAATTATATTATAAATTTATAATTTGGGACCAAATAAAAAGGCTGCTGATCCATCATTATGCTGCAAAGCAGAATAAGCAAATTAAAGCAAGTTTGAAGGAACCTTAAATCCATTAGAGGTTTAGGATACATCCAATCATCCCCAGTGCTCTTTATTTTTCCCCACATGTATAGCTGGCCTCCCCCTACATATAAAAGGACACATCCAATAACAATATTAATAATAATATGCATATGGATATGAAAGATGATCACACACCATTGTATTTTTCAAAACGAATGTGTAATGCTTAGTATTGGGGATCCCGAGCATGAGAGAGGCGTGTGTCTATTAGCAAAGGGAAGGATAACAAAGAACATTTGCAGGGGTGAGTGACATATATAGACCTAGACACACAGCATACCAGCAGTGCAAGATGAGTTCACAGAACCAGCTGAGATCACAGCATCAGGGGGCAGGACATTTTGCCTGCTAAATCCATCAACACGTCGCGGGGCCCACTCATCCTTCTGCTCTCTATGGCCAAGCCTGCCAACTCAGCAGCAAATGAGCACTTGAAGTTATTTATAATCCATATTATATTGTTGTCGTTGCATTTTAAGAAGAATAAAGTAAATGGCATGCTTGTAATTGATATAGTGAGCATACCGACCTTCCATAACCACCGAAGCCCCAGCTGAAATATTTTTTAGTAAAAAAAAAGTTATTTACTATCGTGTATGGGTGTACAAATCAAAATGAGTCATAAGCTAAACCAAATATGATGTAGGAAAACTTACGTATAAACATGTCCATTTGAATCAACTGCAACTGATTATCATAACATAAAATGTAAGGGTAAGGGAAATTACCAACAACTACACAAAGCAGCATATACTATTTTTTGTTCTTAAATGAGTTTATGTATATAAGGGTACACATACATATAGATTACATTAAGATAAGAACCTGTGTGGTTTGACCCGCAAGCCACTTTAACAATGGTTTCACCAGCAAAGGCAGCTATTGCTTTGGGCTTAGGTTGAGCTTCATATACAAGTTTCACTGAACTGTCTCTGGTGTTGTGCTGTATAAAAATGACACTATCTATTATATTGGGTCTAACTCACTCTGAAAGTATCCTTAATATATGATATTTACGACTCTTTCATATAGTTCTCCCTCAGTCCCATTATTTTTCTCTTTTCTCCCTTTTTGTTTGTTCCGCTATTTTCGTCTCATATCATATTAGGTCATATATGTGTGGTTTACATTTAGACTTTATCCTACTTCTCAACACTGATATCAACCACACAATTTTATTTTTTTCTAAAATCACGGCCCTCTCATGTCTCAAAAATAGTGGGACTGAGGGAGTAGATTCAAACCACTCAAATGAAGTGGAAAACCAATGTGGAACACTCAACACACTCCAACCCAAATTGAAATGGACAGTTGAGAAAATGGTGCCAAACTAACCCCCAAAGGAGCTACCCCAAACCATCAAGCGATGATTATAGGGCACGGCTCTAATGACTAATACTATGCTAAGGGTATAGCTCATCCCAAGAGGGATCCTCATAATGGGGGTTTACCTCACACATGTATATTCAAAGCGGTTATAATTTACCCAGTTCAAATAACACTATATACGGATTATGGAGTATTAAGCAATATGAAGCAATCACTTTAGATGAAAATACATCATGTAGTGATAATTATGTTACCTCGTTGTCAGTGCCATGGCCAAGTTGGCCATACTGTGGTAGACCAGCAGTTCTAAAAACAATAAACAACAATATGAGCGATTAGAAAATGATTTGTTTATTTGCAA